TAAATATAGCTGTAACCACAGATGGAATTGTTCCTGTGCATTTAACTTTGCATTGGAATAATTCATCTTACGGGTCCCAAAATACACTCCAACTGCTTAAGACAACAGGGTGACAAATCTAGTTCACATGTATCTTTTCTGTTCTCAGTCTGGCTTATTAAGTGCTTGGAGCCATGATATTTCTTCTTAAAGCACAAAACCAAAAATCCTCCCCAGTTAAGCATGAAATTAACACACTGGAGGGAAAAATAGAGGTAAAAATGACAGGGAATTAATGTTTTTCTCCAAAATTCCGTTGTGGAAAAAAGAAGATTCAATGGTGTTCCAAATACAATGGACGTTTTGAAGTACATGTGAGGGATTGATTTTTGTTTGTTTGTTTTCAGTAGAGAGCAAACAGTCACTAATTTGAATTTCATGTAGCTCTTGTTGAGGCTTTTGTATGGTAGTCAGGAAAATCCTTAATCAAAAGCAGGAACCACACTACACAGATTATATAAAAGCATATTTGGGGGGACAGAGGGATGGGGAGAGAAGCTTTTATGTAGCTAGTTTTCTGTGGCAGAAAGCTGTTCCTTGTGAGAAAGTAGAATGAGGACTATAAAAATAAACTGGTATTAGCCATTGACTTTTAGCCCTATTGACTTGCTCAGTTTTCTTTCAAGTAAGGTTTATTTCCAATTACTGGATGTTACAAACCTGTATGCTATTGTGAACTTTTCAAGTCAAGTAGTTTGCTTAAATTGGTGTCTGGTTCAACCTTAGTAACAAAAAAGAATGAGAATATATTAGACTCTATTAGTCCAATCTGGCACTGATGTGGCTATGTATAGTCAGCCCTCATAACTGTGATGGCAGCAGTGTGATATATGTGCCTGTCTGCTTCCTCTTTGCATGCTACAGTTACCAGAAGTACATGAAAACTTGCAGACTTGTTTGATGTCCTAGGAGTCAACAACTTCCTAGAAACTAAACTGATGATACTCTTGGTAAGGGGTCAGCTCTTAGCAGACTTGCTTCTGATTTAGGGAAAACAGGAAAAATGTTTGAAGATATTTAAGAAATACTACTTCTTAAAATGAAAGTGGTGGTGATGGCTTATTAGAGCATATCATGGGCAGCTGGAATGAGTGTGTCACTTGAGGAGTGTGGGAGGAAGGAATCAAAAAAGCTTCTTGAGTGCTATGCCAGCATCAGATCAGTGGTCAGAATATGGGAAGCAGTTTGGTAAGTGGTATAATCTAAATGGGAGTATTTGTTTTAACCTCCTCTGAGGCCACTGAGTAGTATCTTTAACAGGCAGGTGTGCAGTAGCAGATTCACTGTGTATGGAAAAAGGATGATCATCTTGTTGTGGACTGACAAGTGCATTTTACATTATGAATTTGGTATGTGTAGAAGATAGGAGATAACCTGTTGGGCTGTGAAAATAACAAATTCGCATTAGAACTCTGCTTATCGGAAATTAAATCTTCAAACTTCTAAAGAATTTCTTTTTCAAAAAATATACTTTGGCTTGGAGGAAGCAGCTCAGAGGGACCTGTTTTTTTGCAATAACTAACCAGCAAATGTAATGGATTTTAATAGGTACATTCCAGGCATTATAATCTGCTAATTGATTGTAGTATTCCAAATACTAGATGTAGTTTATTGATTGCTTCCTATTATCTTTCCCCTGCTGTTTACATCCCTGCATTTTTAATCCCTTCAGGAGTATTTGTAAGTGATTGTTACCAAGTACCTCAGTCATATATAAATAACAGTTTAAAAAAAACCCCAGCAAAACTGAATTCCCAACAGTTGGTCATTTTTTCTTGCTTCTAGTTTCCTCTCACATCTAAAGTGTTTTAGTTTAAAAAAAGAAGTTAAGTTTAATGTCTGTGAACATAGTTAGCTGTTGATTAAAGTATGTCACTAGACAGGCATGAATTTAAGAGATCCTTCTGTAAGTATGGAAATTTACTCCAGATACACTAATAGGAACATTGTTCATTATGACATTTAGAACAGTTTGGTGTGTGGGAATTAACCTTTCAGCCCGTGGCTTGGGTATAGGCAGGAATTCTGCACATCTGACTGAATAGCATCTAGAAATAGACAGTGAAGCTATGGTAGAGCAGAAGGTGCAGATGTTCAGGTCTGGAGGAGTTTGCCCATAAGGAGAAGTGCTTCATTCTTTTCAAAGTAAGTGTAATAATTGTCCATATGAACAGAAGATCTCCTGCTAGCTCATCTTCACTCATGAAAGACAAGGATCCAGATTGCTGGCAGTTTACTGGAGTATTTATAGAACAACACTGACTGAAATAAGGTAAAAAACAGCCTGTGGACATGTGTTAAACTATCAAAATCACTTTCATGCTTTGTACTTTGCAAGTTAGCCTGAATAGAATATTTATTTGAAAATAATTTTCTTAATCTTTGAAAAGTCCTTACTTGTAGCCTGTGAGCAGTCTTGGGAGTTGGAGGAAAAGAGTAGCTAATTGAATCACAATAGAACAATGCATTTTTCCACCCTGCTGTTAATTTCATTTAGCTCCATGTTGATAATGCATCACGTCTCTTCATGTGACAGATGGGCATGTCAGTTTCTTGCTTTTTAAGGTGATGTAATAAAATACCATTTGCCTGTCATCTTTACAGTGTACAAAGTGTGGATGACAGCACTTGGAGGAAGTTTTTGCAAATGGTAATACATAATCAAGAAGCAGAAGTACACGTTTGCAGATAATGCCTTGAAGTTGGTGTTAACCCATGCACAGCTTTGAAGCTGTGCATAGTGGGTGCTAGTAACTGGTAGAGTTAGTACTTGTGGATCTGTGAAACATTCTTTGCCAGGTGGTTTTGTTACTTGTGTGGCTGTGTTTTTAAGTGTTGTTCCAAGTATATTAAGTTAGGGTTTTATTCCCAAATAATTTTTCTTGGGTGACATGGAAACCAACTATAAGTATTGCAGTTTAAGACCTTCCTAGCTGAAATGGAATGTGCACACAGCTGTTGCATTCATTTCCATGTAGCTGTTTAATTCTTGGACAACAGTTGTAGCAACTAGTTGTATTTTGTGTGCTGTGATTCAAAGCCTGTTGCTCTCTAGTCTGTCATACATGTTTACAGAAATGTGCAGGATGTCTAAGAGCATCTAATTGTCTTCAGCTGGGGTTTGATGTTGGCTTCTGGTGAACTTAGAGCATCTTAGAGTTCATGTAGTTCTGAGGACTAGGAGGTCCCTTTCTGTAAATGTCCTGGAAATACTTGATTTGACTGACTGTTGGCTGACTCTCTGGCTTAACTTTTCTGGCATTGATCATTACGTGCACAACTGGACAACAGGATTGGTGGTGGAAGTGCATGTGTGCCGCAGTATTCCCCTCCCTGTGTCTGTCTCAGGAAAGGGACTGTTAACCTGTGCAACCTGTAGTCCTCTAATAAGTGGGCTTTGGGATTTATTTTTAATACTAAAAACATAAGAAAATAGGGCAAGTCAATCTCTTGGTAAACTGTGCTGTCTTACACCCAAATTTGCTAAATTACTTGAAGAAAACAGTTAGTTGTGCCCCAGTGGATATTTGAAATATGATTTAAAGTGCTACCAAAAAGTACTGACAAAGGAACTGAGTCATACAATGCGAGGAAGATACTCTTTGAGATGTACTTGGGTAAGACTAGCTTGTTGCCTGTTGCTTAGCACCTGCTTACTTTCTTACAAGTTTGAGATTTTAATCTGTTTATCCAAAATGTGTCTTAAGTTTTCAGGAGACCAAACTTGCAAACCTGTATATCAAGGGTTGAGTTGTGGATATCTGCAAATTAAAGAAGTAGACAAGAGTTCAACAGCTGACATTCTTTAATGTGGGTATTTGAGTTGGCTAGGTAGCATGTAATGTGGAGTCATTGAGAATTTTACTGACACCACTGTAACAGCTCGTAGTCCTTGTGTATAAATAGATGTTACTCACAAGGAATGCATCTTCACACTTGCATATCTGTCCTGGGTAAACAATCATATTTGGTGTTTTGCTCTGGATGTGTGTTGAACTCATCAGTTGTATGAAGCAAAGCCTTGCTTAAGGCAAAGTCAGAGCTAGTAGAGAAGAGTTAAGAGATCATAGTAAGGGAGAACTTTTGCCTACAGGACCTATGTGTCACTGCCACTGCTGTTTTTCCAGTGAACCTGGTGTTTTGCCACTGCTCTGCTACATGATACTGAAATTCCTGAAATCATCAGATGTGGTTCTCACATTATTGACAGCATGGAAACGTTGAGACAGTCTGCAGAAGCTGTCAGAGACTGTAAAGTAATCATCTTACCTATAATGCTTGTGAATTTCTGGTGGCTTACTTTGGCAACAGTCAATACCATTTGGCTGTTGTGCGTTTGTGCATTTCGCTACTCTCTACACTATTATTAACACCTTCGTATGTTTTAACTCAGTCTTGTGCACATGTCCACACTCAGAACACTGGAACTTAATAGTTAAATACCTCTGAGTTTGACTAAAATGCTCTTTCCTGTTTCAGGGAAAGATGAGGTTAAAAGCTGTCTGTTCTAAACCTTTGAAACAAGTTTTCTGTTTTCTAGGTCAGCTAATATTTTATTTAAAATAACTCCACCATCTAATTCAGGTGTACTGTTTGCTTTGTGTGTGTGTGTGTGAAAATTTGCTGAAATAGAAAGTTGCTGGAAGTTGTCAACTGCAACTAAATTTGCATTTTTGTGATACATTTTGCAACGTTGTCACCTCATGAAAACAAATAAGCAAATTTTTTTCTTGTATGTAAATTGAATGGAATAAAAAGTTTAACAAAATGCCTTAAAGATAAAGGAATAAATAACTTTTTGCAAGTATTTATTTCTAGTGATTGTCAAGTTGTCTCATAATACACCTTTACATATGTGTGGGTTTTGGCCCAGAGTAGCCTTCAGTCTACAGCTATTTAATAGATAAACGTTGAAAAAAATGTGTATCATTGATTTTTAACATTACATATTGTTATTTTAGGATAAAAGATCTTGCAGATGCTCTAGACGAAGGAGGCTGTGATCTTGAAACTGTGAGAAACATAATTCAAGGAAGGCAATTGCCTGCTGATCTGAGGGCCAAAGTCTGGAAGGTAAGTATAAGCTCAAATCAGGAAGCAGGAAGTGTTTGAAGTTGTGTTTGATTTGAGATGAATGACCTGACATCTCTACAGAAGAAATGTAGGACTGGAATTTTCATATGCATGTATGTTGATTCTGTTTTGGAATGTTCTGCTTTATTTTGTGAAATTATTGAGTTCAATAATTGGGAAACTTCAAAACGACACTAAAATGTTTTGAGGGTTTTCTATTTTTATTTTCAGATTACACTTAATGTTGTAGGAAAGGGGGACAGCCTAGCATTCTGGGATGGCTCTTTAGACCTACCTGAACAGAGTATAATTCATAAGGATTGCCAAGAGCTAATTGGTAAGTTCACATTTAGATCACCTGTGTGAAAACTTCTGTATTTTCAGTCCTCTTAAGAATTTGTTATTTGAATTAAATAACCTCAATGATGTTTACATTTTGGAGGAAGTTTTGAGGAGGAAGATGAGAGAGCAGAGAAAAATCAGTAAGAAATTGGAAGAAAGCAGTAATATCTTACCTGAGCTCTGACTCTGGGATGGGTGAAATCATGGAATTTTAAAGAATTCGCTTGTAAATGATAGTTTGCATGGTCAGAAAGCTTCATGAGTTAAAAAACTACAATTCTTTTCCGAGCTCCATCCTTTACAGCAGACATTCTTTCTATAGTGCCCTTCAGGTTTCTAATTGTGTAATGACTGGTTCTTAATCTGAAAAGTTAATGTAGCGCCAAAATGCATATGACATTTAAGAGAAGAAATATTTTAAACATTTTGGACCTCAAAGACTATTTTCAAGAAAGATATTTTTAATAGTACTTTCAGCAAAAATGAAGGGTTGTGTTTGTGAAAGCAACATGCTGCCAAGGCGTGGGAAATAATACTCCAGTGTGTCTGTAAGGAGCTGCCACAGGATCTGTTTGGCAGCTCATCACAAGATGGTCAAATCCCTGACACCATGCAACAGCATTAAATCTTCAGATGAGATTTGAATTTTATATTCTATTTTATTTTCCTGAGCGGTAGAGGAAAGGAAACGCCAAATATCGACTGGCCTTGATAGGGAAGTATTAAAGACTTCTGTAGTAAAAAAAAATATTAACAGTCATAAGACTCATGGGCTTCTTGTAATTGAGGGGGAAAGATGTTTGCTAGAAGTTTAATACCCCTGCATGAATGTAGTGTGTACATATCTCTTTCCCCCATCCTGGACATTAAAAAATGTGATTTATAAGTTACAGTTTTAAGTCTATAAGCCTAGCTGATCTCAGAGTTCTGATTGGGATGAATTTGCACGTCAGTGGGTGTTTGAGGAATTGAAGGTATGCATTGTGGGTTGAGCTATGTTGAAACTCAAATGAATTGGTTGTAGAGTTGAGCATAAGTTGCTGAGCACAACAAATAGGAATAGAAGAGGGGTATTCTGTGCATTAGAAGGGATCTACCTCTGTTTCATAGAGATCCTGGAAAACCCAAACTTCTTTCGTCTGGTTGTTGCAATATTTAAATGGCTGATCCTGGTTATAAAATCACTTGTATTTTGATACATTTTTTAATGCCTTTCTGTAAGCATTTGATCCAAGCTGCGAGTTTTTGTCTGGTTTTGTTGTTTTTTCCCCCGAGCAGTCCCTATTTGTTCAATTGTTCTATGAAATAATCTCATTCAATTTCTTTGAAAAGCATTAATACAGTTTATTATTGCTGTGCCTCTTGCAGACCAGTTGTCGGTACCCGAAGAGGAGAAGTCAGTATTAATTTTGGATATTGAGTCTGTTATTACTTTTTATTGTAAATCTCGCAATGTTAAATACAGTTCTTGCCTCAGCTGGATACATCTACTCAAACCTCTGGTGCACCTCCGTTTGCCCCGCAGTGATTTGTACAACTGCTTTTATGCTATCATGAATAAATTCATTCCAAGGTAAGACTCTTCCTTTTGCCTCTGTACTGTTTTTATTGGCATTAAAAGTATTTTCTGTAGGGATGTGCATGTTCTTTTGGCTAGAACATGAACATCACTGATTGTAGCAAAGTTGTCAGATTGCTTCACATGATAATGACTTGAACTATCTTTCAGTGCCTGTTGGTTTGAAATCCAGGAGGTGATTGAGTTGGTGTAAGATGTAGACAGTCAGCATGTGACTGATGTGGACTCAATGTGCCTTTTAAAGAACAACTGTCATTTAATGCAATATCAAAAATACTTGTTTATGAACTAATTCACATAGGTTATGTGCAAGAGTTTTTTTTCTTTCCTTTCCTAGCATTTTTGGTATAATCAGTAATTAATAAGCACTAAGAAGTCTCAAAAATCTCTTTCAAAATAGTTGATATTTTCCTTATACTGTACTGAGCTGGGCCTGAAATGATTTTTTTAAGTTGCTAGATACTTTTAGTTTTTAATACAAAATATTAAATTTGAGGTTTTCATGCTGTTATGTAGGTGCTCTCACTAAAAGAAGTATTTGTGTTGGAATAGCAGCATGACGCTCCAGCGAGGCTATAGTATCTTCTCATTGTGAAATAATGTATGGATGGTCTGTAATTAAAGATCTTAATTTGCTCCCTGGAGAGGAGATTCCAACCCAACTGCTGGACGTGTGCTCATAATATGAAAAGTGCATGTTTGGTGTTGTGGCAGGAAGCATTTTTTGTGTCCTGTCACTTGACTCAGCTTTGTGTTCATTTCTGATTTAAAATACTGTTGGGGTCTGGGAGTAGTTTGGGCATTCTGGTCATGGAACTCCTGTACTCATGTAGAAGGCTTTCAGAGTATCTAGTGTTTGAGCTTCTCTGTAGGCATCTGGGTGACTAAACTCTTTCCTCTTTTATGAGTGAAAAACACAGGCAATTTATAGCATACCTGCAAATCTCTGCTTGGGTCAGTTTGGTGTCCATTTGACATTTGACTGCTGGGCCATCATTACTATTTGATACAAGTTGTGTTTTTAACTTCTTACTCTTTATAAGTCATGCACCTTATTTGCATTTTCTCATCTTTTGAAACTACCTTGAAATATTTATTGGGAATTTAAACAAACAAAATATTGAAATATTTATGGTTTTTTAATTATATAGTTAGACTTATTTTAAACTCTGTTGCTCTGTTAAGAACATTGGTATTGTGCTTGCCTTGTTTTGATATTTAAATCTGTTTTAAATATTTATGTCCTATATAATCTGTCAACTATGGGCAGAATTTCTTTCTGCTGCCTTGTTAATATAGTGGGGGTTTCAGTGTTTGTGGGAGGTTTTTTGTTAGTTTGGTTTTGTTGGTTTTTTTTTTTAACTCTTGAAACAATTTGGCTTCATGATCAATCCCTGTGAATTAATAGAACAGTGTATAGGAAATTGCATAGTCACAGATAATAAAGAATTGCTGCAGTAGGTCTGAAAACTGCAACATTACACAGGCAGTATTTTAGGATTATTTTCACTGCTACTTTTCAGGGATTGTTTTCTGAAGGGAAGACCATTTCATCTATTCAGACTACTGCTTCAGTACCATGAGCCTGAACTCTGCTCCTTTCTTGATACAAAGAAGATGACTCCAGACTCATATGCACTCAACTGGGTAATAAAGTGAAAGTAGGGGAACATAATGAACAATAAATTTCTGTTGAAATTTAAGTACGTGTTGCCAATCTGTGGAAGAGTAGTACAAGTGATTAGAACTGCATATATTGAAATAATTTGCATCTTTTAATATAGCGTGGGCTTCTTGTCTCCAGTTGTTTAGTATAAGGTATTAGGTCTTGTTAAGATCGCATTTTTATTGTATTGCATGTTAATTGAGCCACTGATGTTAGGAACTCCTTGGAAAAAGTAAGAATGAGAGCAGCTGACACACTCAACACGAAGCCCTGATGTTAGTTTTGATAGTGGGCAGCTGTATGCTTGTAGATAGGAATAAACATCAGTCTAATAGGTCTTTTAGAGTCAAAATACTAATTGTTTTAAAAACCTCCATGCTAATAGATGTATTTATGTCTTTTAGAATTTAGGCACATACATTCCACAACACTTAAAGCATTAGTCATTTCCTCTTCAAAGTTGCCTCAAGTTGGGGGTAGTTACAAGGATGCTTACCTCAATTTTTCTTTCAAGTTTGTGAAGCAGGACTGCAGTGTAAAGCAGCAAAATTCTCATATTTCAATGCTACTTACCATATGTAGTACAAAATCATGATCCTGTGCTTGCACAGGCAGTCTGTAAATTAATAAAGAAAACTTGATGGCCCATGAGCTCTTCTAGGCTCTTCTTTGATACACGTTGGTTTTGTAAATTTTTTTTCACCTCTGTGTACTTTCAGTTAAAGTAGACTGAAATGAATTATTCAGCTGTGAGGTCTGTATTTGTTGGGGTTTTTTTAAGGCTGCTGCCAGCTTTAGTATAAAAGTGTGGCCAGGCAGAATTTTCCCATTGTCAAAATCTGCCTTTTGCCAGTCATCAGCCTTCAAAAGAAGTATCAGGTCTGTTTTTTCACTACTCAATCTCTCTTTTTTTAAATAGATTTTTCCTTCGTAAATACAAAGTTCTTTAAAGTTGTTTATTAAAATTGCAGTGCTTAATTAGGAAAAAATTTTCCCTCTGAAAGGTGGTAGGGGAGTGTTAGTGTAGCTGCCAGTCCTCAATGCCATGCTTTCTGGTGTATGATTTTAGGAAAAAAATCTTAAGCCTCATTTTGTGTTGTGAGGTTAGAGTAAAATCCCTTGTTTCACGTGTCATAAAAAATGCTAGTCTATATAGAGGTGCTATTAATACATAGAAAGATGTAAGGAATATACAGAGACCTGTCCTTGCCTTGCTGTTCACTGACATCTTAAGTAGCATTAGAGTCAGAATTGGATAGATCTTCTTATTTTTGCTATAACACTATACCAGGAGGTGCTGAAATATTCCATGATAGTGTTTAAAAACAGATAGTGAGCTTTCAGGTCTGTAGCTGTTCATACAGAATTTGTGTGCATCAGCGAGTTCAGTAAGACCACAGTGAAGTCAGCTGATATGCATCTGAGTTGGCTGTCCCTGAAAGTATTATCTGACATGTATGGAAAGAGGTTTCTACCTTTTATCCACACTGAACTTTGCATATCAGACAGGATAAGGCAAAGAGTTTCTTAAATGGTAATGAAAATTTTCTGTTGCTTGCAAATGTTTAATTACACCGTCATAAAGCATCATAATATAATATTAAGTAAGTGATGTTGTCAAACTAATGTGCAACCATGTTCAATTAGCTCAATTCTTCTGTGAAAAATAAAAATAATTATGCTTGTAGGATCCTTTCAGTCCTAATTGCTATGCTGTTTGAGTAAATATATTCTCTTATGATTGTCTTGTTGGTGTAATTGGTATTTAGCAGTGGCTGTGAGCTAAGCAGTATTCCAGCTTGATTGTGTTATCTATGGTTGAATTTGCAAGGCTGACAGTGTACAGCCAACTTCATGTTCACACTAGGCATATTTATTCACAGATAATCTGTAGTACTGTGCACTGTTTCCATAAAACCTGGTATTGGGGGTAGAACCATCCTTCAATACATGGTGCAGATGTATGCTTTAACATATTTTTGTTGGTTTTATTTTATTTTAGATATGTTGTATCTCTGTTAAAAAATGTGATCCTGATAAGATGGTTCCTGATTATTGCTTTTTCTCACATTGATTGTTTTTCAAATGTTTAGCTTGGAAGCCTCTTTTCATATTACTGTTCAGCTGAAGTCACTCAGGCAATATGGGATGGATATCTACAACAAGCAGATCCATTCTTTATTTATTTCTTAATGCTGATCATCCTTGTCAATGCAAAGTGAGTGCACAGTTAATTCTTTGGGACATTCTTTGCTGACACTATTTTAATCCAGTTTTGTTTCATTCTGGTTTTACTGACTTAATCTATGCCTGTGACTTTATTGTTTTTCAGAGATGTTATCCTAGCACAAGAATCAGATAAAGAAGAAATGATAAGTAAGTACTTCTCTTACACAACTGCTAGTGAAATATTTACCATGTACTATAAACCTCATATATTACTATTTTTAGTTGCTAAATAGCTGAATTATTTATTTCCATCTGATTTTTTTTCATTAATGAATCCCCTTGCCCACTAATTCCTTTCTTACTGTTCTTTTGCTGCGTGACATTTCCCCTGTCCTTACCATTCTTTCCTTGTGTTGCCTTTTAGTATTCCCACACTTAATTTTAGTACTTTGTTTCAATACTTCAAACTGTATTAATCACCATGTTTCTAAGCCCAAAGCAGCAGCTTTCAAATCCTTCTTTAAATCTACTGGAGTTGTTGCATTTTCTGGATTGTTATCTTCATATGCATTTATTTGAGCTTAAGTCATTTTTCTTGTCTTGCCCTCTTCTGGCTTTATAAAAAACACACTAAATTTCTTGTGAGCATATTTCACTTGCTTTTGTTTTGGTTTTTTTACATACATGTAACACAATATAATTAATAATCTCCTAGTAGTTAAAAATGAGTGCTTGGAATTTTGTGTCTTTGTCATATACTGCAGAACTACACCCTTGTATCATCCTGTACAGTGCTACTGATTAGGTACGCAGAATAGAGGATTCTTTTGGTCACACCTCTTTGGAAGAAGTAGCTGACTTAAAATTACAACTGAAATCCAAAACTATACAGAAATAGGTGTGTGGTTAAAAATAATTTGCATAGAAGGTTTGAACTTCTAGCAAAAAGCATAAATTTCCTATGGATAAGGAGTATTTCCTGTATCTTCTCTTTCCATCTGAAGAGTGGATCAATATTCATGTTTAATCAATAAATTATTGTATGATTTGAAAAGATGTATGTTGCTTCATTTCTGTCTGAAATAATGTTGTGCTTATGTTGTTTGTCTGTCTCAGAATTCTTAGAAACATCACCAGCCAATCTGGATTTAGAGGATATAGAAGATCTCTTCTCTTTGGCACAATATTACTGTAGCAAAACTCCAGCTTCCTTCAGGAAGGTAATAACAGTAATTTTGAAATTCTTTTCCTTTTGGTGAGTGTTTAAGCTCCTGATGACAATGACTTTGAATATTTCATTGCAAATTTTTTTCAACTTTTTTTGCTGTCATTACTCTGGTGGTATTTACTGTTAGGATCTTTGAAAGATAAGAAGGTTAAGTGAAATATGTTAGAAGCTTCCCTGCAATATTCTCACTTCATGACCTTGTTTTGCCAACCACGTTCTTGCAAGAATTGATGAAGCAAAACTGCCATATTGACCCACTGGCATTGTAGTAGACTGCAGAGCAGTCCTAGCTGTATTTGCAATAGCAAAGAGGAAAAAGTTGCTTACTAGAGATGAAGCTGTTATCACCTGCACTGTTTTTGCAGCTCTTTTTTACTCAAGATATCTGACTTCAGTGAATGAATGAAATAGAAATAATTGATAGTCATTGCCTTTGGCTTGTATATGCTTTCTCTGATGTGTGTAGACAGGTACGTTAGATTTTGGTGGGAGGAGAAAAAACAAACAACCAAAAAACCAAATACCAGAGGCACTGCGTCGAGTTGGCATGGTCAAAGTCGTGAACAAGCATGTTTGAAATGGAATTTCAGACCTTGCCATGGTTTTCAGAAAGAATTTCAGTTGATCAAAAATTTGGTTACTATGTGGACGGGATACGCATTGTTGGGCTTTGTTTGTGGCTTAGTGGATATAGTTTTATTTTAAGCTTTCACATGTAAAGACAATGGCTTCAGTTAACTTTTTTTTTTTCCATTGCCATATTAGGACAACCACAGTCTTTTTGGCAGCAGCTTGCTGGGCCTCAAAGATGATGACACAGACTTGAGCCAGGCTCTCTGTCTCGCAGTTTCTGTGTCTGAGATTCTTCAAGCAAATCAACAACAAGGAGTCAGTATACTGAATCAACCTTCCCCCCTCAAATTTTGTAGCAAAGGAAAATAATAGCTTACTACTGACAAATATTTTTAAATGCTCACAGCACAAATGCGTATTTGCTGTTTCAGGAAAAATACTTTGTCTTGAAGTTGTCTCCCTTTTAAAGGATGTGCTGACTTCAGTGCCTTTGTGCTGCAGCAACTGGAGCTATAGGGCAAGGGAGCTTGCTACAGCTGGTTTGAATCTGAGGAGTGTGAGCTTAAAGTAATAGCTCACTAATTTGAATTCCTTTCCAAATGTAACTATTGTAGAGGAACATTTATTTGAGAAGAATGCCATTATGGAATCTCTGCCTTCTGCCAAGGAAGCATTTAAATAAACAAAAAAATTGATTAAAGCTATTTCAGTAGAAGTTAATTGCAGACATAGTTAGATGCAGGGACTTCACTTTGACTATTTAAGACCAGTATATGGATCATAATGTAGTTAGATTACAGTCTTTCTTGCTGACTATTGAATTTTTGTAGCAGTTTCCAGGACCAAGTTCTGTCATGCATAGTTCGGTTGATTTTTTCCCTAGTCCAAATGAAAGTTAAGCTTCTGTTTATATCCTATTAAGTCAGCAGGTTATAAAGCTATCCTTATGTGCTGTGCTGGTTAGTAGTGGAGTGTTGGACTGTCTTGTTGATGTGTGCCTTCATACCCACTATGTTGCCTCTCAGCAGAGGTGAAATATTTACACTGTGTGTATTGCACTTGTGTGACCTGTTCTTATGCACAAGCCAATGTATTAATGGGAAGCCACTATTAGAATACTGTTGGTCATCTGGTGACTGTAGAAGCTCAGATTAATCAAATGAAAAAAGATTTTTCAATAGCTGTTAGCCCCTATGAGCAGTTTCTGTAGTACTGGAATTAGTATTAAAATGTAATTGAATTATGTCAATAATTTGAAAATTTTGTAACAGGCCCAATCCTTCTCTTTCAGGAAGGAGTGAGGTTCTTTGTAGTGGATTGTCGTCCTGCAGAGCAATACAATGCTGGGCATTTATCAACTGCATTTCATTTAGACTCGGATTTGGTTTGTATACTTCTTGTTTCTTTACTGAGATTTGATTCCTAAGTGAGATAGAAGGAGAGAGAAATGTCACAAAAAATGCAATATCCTTAGTTTAGGCTCTAGTTGTTGGACTCGAAGTTGGACTTCATGACCTTTGAGGTCTTTTCCAACACAGTGGATTCTATGATGGTATGACTGCAGTGTTTATCTGTGTGATGAGGTTTCAAAGGTTAATTTCTCTAAAGGAGATGGTAGGTGGCAGCATTTTAATGAGAAGTTCAGTCCTTATTGACATTAGAATTTGGGATTTCAGACTCCTTGTTCTTTGGTTAGGGCTGGAAACCCATACAGACTAAAGACTAGACATTGCTTGAAGGAGGAAATCTCTTTTTAGCATCGTAATTTCCAATGAAAGGTGTCATCAATTTTTATTTTTTCTCTTGTCTTTTTTTGCCTCAGCCATTCTTACTACAGTCTGCTTGTAAGGAACATGTATCTTCTAAAAGATTTGGTTGCTTCTTTAAAATTTTTGCAGTACAATATGTGAGAGGCAGTGCATTAAGGTTGGGACTGAGGTGTACTGTGGGCTAATAACTTCAATAAAGATTTTACTTTACTTTCCATTTGATTGTGATTTCCTAACTGAACATTCAGTCATATTTTTCTGTCCTATTTTCCCCAAATCAATTCCACTTCAGCCATCTAGTAGTGTATTCTTCACTTCTAGATTAACCCTCAAGTATTTTACTTCAAGCAGTCTACGGAAACTGCATGGAATGGTTTGTATGTATATACCCCATAAAACACTTTCATACCTTACTTAGAAGTTCAGTGCTACATCTAATATCTTTACCTCTCTAATTAAAATGATGCATTATTCAGTATTACATGCACAAATATAATTATATAGGAGAGAAAAGGAGACTGAGGGGAGACTGTAGTGCTCTCTATAACTATCTGAAAGGAGGTTGTAGCAAGATGGATGTCAGTCTCTTCTCCTGAGTAACAAACAATATGACAAGAGGAAGTGGCTTCAGGTTGCACCAGAGGAAGTATAGGTTGGATTACGAAAAATTATAGGAATTATAGGAAAAATTTCTTCACTGCAGGGGTTGTCAACTCTGGAATAACCTGCCCAGTGAAGTGGTTGAGTCACCATACCTGGACATGATGCTTGGTTTAGTGGTGGGGAGTTGGCAGTGTTAGGTATGTGGTTGGATTTGATGATAAGGGTTTTTTGCAACCTAAATGGTTCTGTGATACAGTGTGGGTTTTAACCTAGATCAAAAATTATTTAGGAAAAAAACTTTCCTTCTGCTATGTGGATGTTCTCCTGCTAGCCTTAACGGAACATCATGTTCAGTAAAGCATTATAAATTATTAAGTAGTGCAAAACCGTAGTAATGTGTGAAAAAGAAGTCTGTGAAGACAACTCTTAAATTGGATGTGATTAGTTCATATGTATTTTAATTACATATTGGATTTAACATCTGCAGTATGTGTCAGTTGGTATAGTTAGGGTCCTTCATGAACCATGGTGGATGAATGTCACCAGATTCATCTCTGGTTTTAAGTTTAATGCTAGCAAAATATTACAGAGAATAATCTTTGTGATGAAAAGCCATTAATGCAGTTTAAGTGCTTCTATGTACCAAGTACACACAACTAACTGTAAGGGGGAACAATAGGGAAAGCGATTTGGAATCCATCTCATTTATAGATAGTCTTAGAGGAAGTAGTGAGATTTAGCACCTGTGTAGTAAAGCAGCAGCACTTGGCTCTAGGAAAAAACCCAGCTCAAATTCAGCTTGCCTTAGTGATGGCTAGGTTGTGTGCTTGGGACTTTGTACTTCATCATCACTGCAAAGACTAGATCATGAGAATCCCTCCTCTTCTCCTCATCCCCAGTACAGTTACAGGTCAAAGTTTTGTTATTAATATAAATAAGCACCCTCGCCACAAACACAGGTCAAAATTTCTTCTGTATTGAGAAAGTCCTTGTTTTTCTGTCTCATGCAGCAGCTTGTTTTTGCATACATAACAGGCCTTCAGGAGATCACAGCCTTAACTTTTTGAGAGTACAAAGAATCACGGATATCTGCTTGTACTCTCAGTTGTACTTTTTTTCTCCCAAATCTTGATAAGTAAATAGGAGGAAGTTTAGTGAGGAGATAACAAGAGAAGGACTTTACTGACACTTAGGAATTGTAGGTATTTTGAAGGGTTTCAAATCTGTAAAGTTTGAACATGTTGTGCTCAAGCATGTGTAAATATGGGAAGCAACCCCACTGCTATATTACCAAATTAATGCAACATAAAAGTTGCAAAGACTTGTTCCACTATTATTTGATGCCTGCAAAAATACACTAACAAATGTGAACTGCATTTTTTTCCTGGGGAGAGCGAGGTGGAGTGAGGAAGAAAAGGACCATTCTCAGTGTTCTTACTTAGCATGAGCTCTTGATCAGGTGGTCTTGTGTGCGTGTGTGACTTGTATAGTCCTTATATATTGCCTTGTTTTGTGTTCAAGAAGTTCTCCAAGTTTGTCTCTTTTCACAGCTTGTGTTACAGTATGTTGGTGTCAAACAGCACTTCTTGTTTGTTTGTTCCACAGATGCTTCAAAACCCATCAGAATTTGCACAGTCTGTAAAATCCCTATTAGAAGCACAAAAACAGTCTATTGAGTCTGGCTCCATAGCTGGTGGGGAACACCTCTGCTTCATGGGAAGTGGCAGGGAAGAAGAAGATATGTATATGAACATGGTGTTAGCACATTTCTTACAGGTACAGTTAAATTGCTGTTGATTTTAATAACTGAAATAAAGTGTGTCTGCATGACATTGATACTAAATGGCAAAACATTTTCCCCTTAAAAACTATTTTTTACGTTACTCAAGTTGACAGTTTTTATTTAATTAACCCATATTTCATTACTATACTTGCAGAAACTCGTTCCACAGATTTTTGCTTAAACCAAAATTGTCTTTTTTGTTGCAGAAAAATAAGGAATATGTAAGCATTGCCAAAGGAGGATTTATGGGTAAGCTTATTGATAATGAACTTTGGCTTGAGAAAACTTGGTATGTTAACAATGTTGATATTTCTGTTAGGGTTTTGCTAAAAATCATCTAAATATATAGCAAATAGGGTCTCATTTGTCAAGTTTGTTTTGTGTAAGTAAACACTGAGCATTTAAACATTGGTGGTTAACTGTTAGGGCTTCCCCAAATTTCTGAATGGTGAAAAATTAATACAGGAAGTGGGGAAATTCCCTCTTCCTTCTAACTTATGATGCTTGATGTTTTAGCCTCTGTAGGCTGCAGATTTGTATGAAGATACGACTTCATAATTAGTGTTAATTGCTGTTATGTTTTCTTAAATGAGTAATTCATAATTATGCACATTACGTTGCTGGAAATAATCAGGCTCTACACCAGTGGAGAGATCTGTGCTACAATATGAGTATAGAGGCATTACTGATCAATATGTGCAGGGTCATAACAGCTGTCTTCAAGATCAAAGCAGTGATTTATTTTTAGTTGCTGCTTGGTTTTTTCTGTTTCCTTTACTAAAATAATGTCTCTATACTACTGAAAGAAAATCCAGGGATTATTAGAGTGGAATCTGAATTTATCCGTTTTATTGAATCATACGTAGAGATAATTGTTACCAATTAGTCTTGGATAAACAGTATTTTCATCCACAGACTAAGTCCAATGTAGTTCTGAATGTTTTTTTTAATGGCCTTTTAACAGCCCTCCAGCAGCACTTAGCAGATATCAATGTGGAAGGACCAGAAAATGGGTATGGCCATTGGATTGCTAGTACCTCAGGCTCAAGAAATAGCATCACCTCTGTTGATGTAAGTGAATTTTAAGCACAAGTGGTTTAGTGGGATGGGAGCCCCTGGTGTACTGAATTTTTTTTCTTCATGTTCTTCATTCTGTCCTGTAAAATGCATTACTGCAAGTCATGACTGTTTCAGTTGTGTGTTTAATTTTAAACAGTGTTCACTGTCTAGTTGCAAGTGACCTAAATACTTTTATCCTCTCGAGGATAAAAGGAAGAGCTTGTAGAGAATACCTTGCTGTAGTCATTCTCCAGCAGGATACATATAACAGACATCTCTTTCCTGGCTCTTACTCACTCTGGGAATAAATTACTATAAATTGGGATGTTATGTGTAGAATTTGGCTTTTAATTTGGATGCAGTATATCATTAATAGAATTCCTTCCTCTAGATTTTCATAGCAGAATGCTCACTAATATGATTTGTCAAGCTGGCTTTGTTGGATCATCTTCACCTCAGACACATCATTGCTGTTAATTGATAGAACTCTAAAAAAATACTTAATTCTGTGATTAATGTTCTGCTGAGTATCAAAAAGTAGATTTCTATTCTGTAGTCTGTTTCCTTTCTTAACAAACTAGAGACGAAATAACATTATTTTATATGATTAATCCTGAGAGGAGTTACTTTTACAGGGTGATTCTTCTAATGGTTCAGCTGATGGAAAAGGAGTGAAGTCCCTGGTGAATAAAATGACAGTTGCTTTGAAGACTAAATCTGTGAATGTGAAAGAAAAAGTTATTAGTTTTATTGAAAACACATCTACTCCAGTGGACAGGTGCGTCATTTATATCTCACTGTGACTTAGCCATGAATGACTTCCCATTTCAGGTGGCTATTTTGTAGGTGTGAAAACTGAACTAATTAGGAAAATGAAGTTGTCTTCCAGTTTCAGTTCTTAGATTTTCTGCCCCCAACATCCTCATGATTTTAAGTAAGCTTACTATTCTGCCTTAGTATAGCAAGGCACTCGGGAGCAGCTTTTTCTCTTGAATGTTTGTCTGGAATTTGTCACTCCATGGTTAGTTTGACTTCTTATAATGTGTCAGGTTTGTATTCAGTCTAAAACTCGAGTGGTTTCCCTTTTATTTCAGTTCCTCCCTGTCCTGACTCTCATGGAACGGGTTAATGACAGTAGGATTCTCAACAGGCTTTTTTGGTTGGTTGGTTTTGTTCTGTTTTGGTTTTTTTTACTGCTGCATCTTGTCAAATTGACATTAACTTTTTTGAAGATCTTGATTTTTCAAGTCCAGATGTAAAGCTGCAAACCCAGAATCCACCATTGTTCCTTTCTTGTATCTTCAAGTACAGCTGGGAATGAGAATGTGCAAACATATTAAAAGACACTTTGATGACGCTTTTGGAAGTCATCATTCCAAATCCTTATCTTAACTAGATAAAAGAATAACAGCTTTCGTCTGTCAAAGTTTAGTTGAATAGCCTGTTTTAGTTCTTTAAACTCCAGCCTTTGGAGTTGTATGTTGCCAAGAGATTGGTATTGAAGAATCTCAGAGACCTAGTATTTGTTCGATAGCAGCATTTAAAATACATGCCAAATGAACAGTAGTTTTTAATAGTCTTGTAGATAATCAAAAGGTACAGATTGCTCCTTCTTTTTGTCTTGGAGAATTTTTTTTAGAGTAGTAGTATTACTATTATTTCACATTTAGAGGCGAAAAATTCTTAGATAGTACTATCTTTTCTTGTGTGAAGATTTAAACTGAAAGAGAGCAGATTTACATTAGACATTAGGAAGAAATTCTTTACTGTGAGGGTGATGAGGCACTGGAACAGGTTGCCCAGAGTGGCTGTGGATGGCTCATCCCTGGCAATGTGCAAAGCCAGGCTGGATGGGGCTTGTTGAGCAAGATGGTCTAGTGGGAGGTGTCCCTGCCCATGGCAGGGGGTTGGAACTAGATGATCTCAAAAGTCCCTTCCAACCCAAGGCATTCTGTGCATTCAAGTAAGGCTTATGTATAAGCCATACATAGCATGAAAAATACATCTTCAGTAGACTTTTTTACAAATACTTCTCTACCTCATGTCTAGCTGTCATGAAGCATTGCTTTTGTTTATGAGCATCCTCCTTGAAGAAGATACATTGCCAATATAGAGAATTTCAACTATTTAACTAGATTTTTCCTTTACATTTTTTGTTTAATTCTTTTGTTCTGTCCTCTGCCCCAATGTACTATAGAATACCTTTCAATATTTCCTGGCCAGACAGAGCAAACCTGGAGCGGTAAGCTTGATAATTAAGCAGTCTGACTAAAACCACCTTTTCTGTATTTAGCATGGCATCACAGTATTTGTAAGCATTGGTTACACTGACAAGATTGCTTGCATTTTATTATATTAATTTGCTTGTTTGAATATATTAAAGCTATTGCTGTTTAAAAGTACTGGTCAAGAGACTAAAGGAAGAAAAAATGTATTGGCAGTGCTGCTTTCTTCTCTTAGTTTCTGCATTGTTATTTCTGTTCCTTACTATTGGTTTTTATGGAATTTTTTTTTTTTACTTGTCATTTCCTATATACATTTTATTAGTGACTTGTACTTGTAGAAGACACCAGGAGCAATTACTGAACAAACTATGGCTTCAGGTTTTAACAAGAGAGACTACAAGTATGCAGCATAAACTGTTGGTAAAGCATCATCAGAGCTTGGATATGACAGGGAAACCATATGGAAATTCTGTCTGGAAATCTGAAATTTTTATGTTCTTATCACATGGTGATAGAACATGCTGATAGAAACAGACATGCTCATTACTGGGAAAAGAGAAATGCTCAGTTGATAAGTAAACATGCCTTGCAACTCTCCCACATCTTGTTCAAATAACTGCTGCATTTCATAGAAATTTGGAGGCCATTCACATCTGTCTCGTGTATTGCCTTATAATTATTCTGAAAATAAAAGTCGTGAATTGAGGTTATATAAAATTACTTGTGATAAATGAAGAGTAGCTCATGCATAATCACTTTGGAACTTTGGTTATACTTCAGGAACTCTGTAGCTTTTGACCTTCATACACTGAAATACATGTAGATTGATGCTGGATTAATTGTGGAAGATTTTAAGTGCTGTTTGGGTTTTGAGTGATTTTTGGACCAATTTTTCTTTTAAGTAGTTGTACATAAATTGAGATGGGATTCACCCATAACCATCACAGAATGGTATCATGTGAACAAAGCCAATAGTGATGTTAACCAGTATTTTTTTTAAAAAAAGGTGGCACTAATAGCACATAATATATTTTGTTAATTTAGAAACTCTAAGGCTCATGGGGATTTTATGCCACATCTTGTTGATCAGTTTTTAGAATATGCTGACTGAGAAAGTATTGAAATTCCAGGTTAAATACTTGGTGATTCATCAATAACTGAAAGACACTTCAGTCTGTATTTGTAACCAAGAAGTGTTGATATATTACGATTATACTTTGATTATTTTGTTTACTCTGTTCACTCATATTGCTTATCTTCTTTCATTGGGAAGATGCAGTAATAAATTGCCTCACACTAAGGATCACTAGACTATTTTCATGAAATTGTAGCTCTTAAAAACCTAGAATGGCATTTTTTCCTCATGCACTCTATTAGATCCACTTCGTATTTATCACCAGTGTTTTTCATTTGGCAGGTTTGCCAGCTTTGGACATTGCATTCAATTTTTAACAGTGTAATGATGGTCTTCCATGTAAACAGATTAAAGGAAATCCATTTCTAATTTAAGATGTTACCAGATTTTTATAAAGTAGCTTTTTACTTTCTCTTGTCTTGACTAACTTCAATTTATAAACACCAGTGAGACCTTCTCTTAGATGATCTCTGCCTAATTCAATTTGACCCTATTTAAATGTGCTGCTTCTTATTCAATTGGTTGTGTATTACTAAAGCATATTTACAAAAGCCTCTGTATAGACGCACTGCCCTCTTGAATTGTCAGTGTCATTGATGCTTATTGTCTTAAACACTAATGAGCATGTTTTTGTATGTCTGGTTTTTGTTTCATTGTAGACTGCATTTCTGAGTTGGTTTTTTTTTTTCTATTCAACTTCTCCTTATTTTGTCATTAGTAAGTTTTACCCATAGAAAATGTAGTTTTCTAACTTCAAATTCTACTTTTAGTTGTGCATAATACTAGCATTTATTTATCTGTTACTAAAGATTACCTCTCTGACTTAGATTGACAATAGCATGTAAACTGGTGCTTGTGAATATGCTTGTAACAGGCACCAAGGCTTGTAGTTGATAGGAGACAGAAATGCACATTATGAGGAAGGAGGTTATTGAAATGGGGGCACAGGACAAGTGTGTTTTGGTTTTGTTTCGCTTTTTTTTTTTTTTTTTTTTTTTTTTTTACTACTATGTGTTGCCAGTTTTAAAGGCTAATCATAAACTGTTTAATTTTTTCAGTGATTGCCTGTTTGGTGGCTTTCTGAACCTTTTAGGTTTTTTCATATTTTTCAGATATTCTCAGCAGTTGAGGGCAAGAGCTTTTAACAATTCAGCTGTGACCATGTAATCACAGCAATCTGAGCTGGAGCTTTAAAAGACCTCAGAATTTATGTGTTGCCAGTTTTAAAGGCTAATCATAAACTGTTTAATTTTTTCAGTGATTGCCTGTTTGGTGGCTTTCTGAACCTTTTAGGTTTTTTCATATTTTTCAGATATTCTCAGCAGTTGAGGGCAAGAGCTTTTAACAATTCAGCTGTGACCATGTAATCACAGCAATCTGAGCTGGAGCTTTAAAAGACCTCAGAATTTGCAACTGTGTGTGTGTGTCATTTAGTATGATCTGTAGAAACAATTTAAATGTGGTTTTTCAGGTCCCAGTGATGCTGGGATTTTAGCAGTATGAGTTGCTTGACCAAATATTTCAGGATTTCACTCATGCTGGAGAAGGTAATGGACAGAAACTCAGAGTTTATGCTCCAGTGGATGGTTTATAATAATCCCACTTTGAAGTTCTTAAGGTATTTTGTTATCTTTTGAGGAATTAACCAGAAAAAATAATTTCCAGACATGTGAATAGTTTGTTTTGGTTTTTTCCCTTCATCCAAATTGGGCATCCTTGTGAGGCTGCCCTGACTGTCCAAGTATATTTTGGTTTCATGCTAGAAGCTTCATAGCATGTTGTCAGTTTTCAGGTGTCTAATGCATTTTGTCATTTGAGAAGGTGAGCCGAAGTTCTTTTTAAAACAGAATAGTATTTCTGTTCACTTGCTTTGTTACACCAGTCAGCCTTGCAAAGTAACAGAAGTTTGTGCTTTCACTAACCAAATTGCTTGATGGGTCACTCATCTTCCTTGCAGGCAGCTTCATGAAATTCTCTTGTCCTTCTCTGTTGCACAGTTGTGTTTACATTTTGCTAATATGTTATTGTAGAACTCATACCATCCATTTGAAAGTTACTTTTCTTCTCCCATCCCATGTTGTCTCCTGCCCTTTTCATTGCCAACAGACATGTCAGCAGCAGTGACAGAGTAGGAAAACCCTACCGTGGTGTGAAACCAGTATTCAGCATCGGGGATGAAGAAGAATACGATACTGGTACAGTAGAAGATTTTCCTCTTACTTAGATTAGTTTGTTTAGACAAAATTATTGAGTTGGGCTAAATCATAAGTGTGTATTTTTACATCTTTGTCAAACAACATGACAGTTTTCTAACTGTTATCATTGATTGTCTTTGTCATGGTGATGCCCAGGACCCACAAAGAAAGAAACACTCTCTTAAAGTACATAGTAGCAGACTCAATAAAAAAGATTTTGTGGAAGGGACCAAACAGCCAACAGGAAAAAAATGGAAATAGATGGGTTTAGTGGCTATTTTGTCTTCACTTGTTATTTCTGGAGTAGAGATGCAATTTTGTACGCTGCTTCTGTACATGTAAACTGGCAGTTGTACCTCTGTTACTCACAACTGTGAGCAAAATGTAAAGGACTAGTTTGGCTGATATGTCTCAGTTTGAATCTCTAGTATCAGAAAAAAAATCTGAATTTCTGATATACAGTTGGAGATAGACTTAAGATGGCTAATGTGTGCACACCTCTCCAGTGTTTTGGACTTTGCTTTTCAGCATTGAATCTATAAATAACTTGATTCATCTCCTGACATGCATGCAGGATGCTGTAGGAAAAAAGAAGCAGTTTTTATTGATACTTTTTATCCAACTGAAAAATTACGGGCAAAAGTAGAACACCACACCCTTCACAAGGGTTGATTTAAGGGTTTTTGGGACCCTAATGCTAACATTAGAATGGTGCAGACCTACTGCTGTCCTAGTTTTGTTCTGGTAGTTTTAGCCCATTCCCAGTTATCATCATCTCACAAGTAACTGTGGCAGAAAAGCACACTCAACTTCCATGGGAGAAAGAGGTAACTAATATAAGAACCTTTGACATGCAAAAGAAGTAACTTAGGACAAGTAATGAAAGTGAGTCGTAGGATTTGGAGTTATTTAAACAACATTGATGACAAACTGTTGATCATAGCTCTAAAAATTGTGAAGCAGCAAAATGAAATTATCGGGCAGAAGCTTTAACACTAACAGAATACTTCTCCAAATTCCATGTAATTAAGTTTGCACAGTTCTTTGAGCATCCATAATAGTGTTTGGCAAAGTCTGCATGGTTTCAGAAAACCAGCTCCTCAAAGGCAGATTGTCTAGAACATGTTTTGAGTAATGATTGTTTCCTAAGTTCTGTTTATATTTGCTGTTAGACTTAGTAAATAAGCAGAATCCCTGCAATGATTTGAATTAGCAAAGCCAACACATGAGGTGAAATATATATTGGTTTCATACAGAAGAATGCAGAAAGTGAGCCTGTTTCTGTATAATTCGTTTTATGAAGTTTTAGTGGTTTGGAGGCTTTTTTGTAGTGAATAATTGCAATCAGCTCTAATAATTGCAGCCTGCTCTGGGTGGCTCTGCTTGAGCAAGGAGGCTGGACCAGATTACCTCCAGAGATTCCTTCTATCCTCAGCCATTCTGTGCTTCTGTGAAATGAGGATGGATTTTTGTTCCATTTCTTTCCATTTATCATGTGTTTTTTCAATGAAAACGTTTTCAAAAGTGTGGCTGTAATTCTGAATTGCTTTGAAATAAGTAGTTTAACAACGTATAGGAAACTGGCTTTGAAAAAGGCACTTTTGAGGTGTCCTCCAAAGCGATTTCTGGCAGTATTTCCTTTAGATTTAATACAGTTCACTGTTTTAGATAACTAGATTGCTAATCAAATTCTTCTAATGTAGCACTGGAATTACTAGATAAACATAATCACCACTTTTAGATATAGAAACAGTATTTTGTAACTAAGTGATAACACTTGCAGGAGTTTGGGTGTTTCACAGAGGTCTGTGCTTAAAATTTTGGTTTTGAGTATGTTCGCAAATGCTCTTAGACGAGGTCAACCTGAAAACAATTTTTGCTAATGATCCAAGGTTATTCAAGGTAGTAAGGACAGACTGAATCTTTTGCTAGTCTGAATGACTGGGCAATAAAACAGCACATGGAATTCAGTATGAATTAAGGTACTGGCAAGAAAGACATCAAAAAAAACCCCCAAACAACAGTTCTAGTTTCAGTTACAAATCGGTAGACTGATTTGGCTGTGTCCAGGTGCAGTAGAGAAACAGTTAGAGAAGTAAATCAAATGCTTAGAAACCTGTGGTTCATCCAAACATTGACTATTGTGTCCTCTACCCTCTATGTCAGAAACAATGTTGGAACAGGAGAAGGTTCAGAGAGGGGTAAGAAGGGTGTCAGTAGATGTGAAATGAATTTCACAGCAGGCATAACTGAATATTAGAAATTTTGTTATGTGAAATAGGTACCTTAAGGGAGGAAAAGTGGTCCACAAGGATAATGCCTGGCCTTGAAAGGGGTCAACAGATGCTTATTTCTTCTTGTACAAGAAGCCAAAAGCCAAAGAGGAGACTTTCCTGGACTGTAGTTGGTTTGGTTTTGGTACTCATTGCCCAAAGATATTTGTGTTGTAGATGCAAAAAGTTTACCTTGCCTCAGGGAAAGTCTGGACGAGTCCATGTAAAAGAAATCTTTGAAACTTTACTGAATGGGCAAATAAGACCAGCTTAAGACATCCCCTGAGCTAAAAACAGCTGTTCTGAGAGAGAATTAAAAGTCCCAGATTGCCTACATTTTTCTTTCTTTCCTCTGAATAATTGTTTATGGCTAGGAGGTGGACCTTCATTTGAACTTTTCAAGTGAATTGAAAAGTTGTCTGATGATGTGTGAAAACACTGTCTCTTTTTCTGGTTTTTTTTGAAGTTTTTTTTTAAATTTTTTTCTTCTTCAAATCAGATGAAATCGATAGCTCCTCAATGTCGGACGATGATCGAAAAGAGGTGGTCAACATCCAAACATGGATCAATAAACCTGATGTGAAGTACAGCTTCCCATGTAATGAAGTAAAAGAAAACGGACATATGTTTCCCAGGTACTGAAAGTAGTCCTGAGTTTAATGAAAATATCTGTCTTGATACACTTTTTTTAAAAAAACTAATTGGCCAATTAAGTTTTTCATTACCTTAAACCAAGAAATGAAAGTGAAAAAGAACATAGAACAAAATTATACTGCTATATTTATGTTCTTATATTTGTGTGTTATAGAGTGGTACTTACTATAACACCTAGTGTGAAGTTCTGCTTAGCAAAACAAGACAGTAAGAAAAATATTCTCAGTATACACAAGCTTATTTTCAAGACCAGGTAGATCCAAGTACCTGTGGCTCCATTTTTTCCTATCTACTTGTCTTTTGTGCCTTTTACTTCTTACCCATCGTTCCCCTAAGATGCTGATCCTGCAAGAGCAGAGCATGATGCTTGCTGTATTTTGACTTCCCAAAGAATACATACACTGTTTAATATGGATAACAGAAAATTATTATGTGGTTTCTCTTGCATCATGGTCTGTTCTTGTCTTTTAGTATTATTTTTGCATTAGATTTATTTTCTGTGGTGTATGATTAGTAGTCTAATAGTATGATTTCTCAAGCTGAATTGAAGCTTAACTAGTGTTCCCACCACTAGTTGAACATGCATTCCTCCCATGAAGAAGGCAAAAGTAAGTCTTGAACTGAGCTGGCAGGTCAGGAAGTCAATGCTAGTGCTTGTACAGGGATCAACAGTCATGGATACTCCATTGATAGTTGGAGGGATGTCGTTGGGGAGTGCTTGAAGAATGAAAGAGAAGCTGGAGGCACTTTCCATGCTCTGTGTGTGGCCACATTACTGGTGGTTGTGATCTTTGTTGATAGAACTCATGGCTGCTGTGTTGAGGTGATCATGTTAACTCTTACTCTGCTTTTGTATACTGTTGAAGGTGCCATGCTTGTTTTTAAAAGTGACTGTGATACAGTACTCAAAGAAAATCTGAAGTATTTTGTAAACCTTTGTAAATTAGAAATTATGAAAGTATTATAACTATTTCTTAGATTTGGAACTGATTTATCTAGCTCTCTCTGTGTACCTCATTTGTAGAATTTAGGTTTCTAAACAGCTGATATTTAGTTAATTAGTAAATTTAATTTGCATTTTTCTTTTCCTTCTAGTCATCTCCTAGTAACAGCAACACATATGTACTGTTTGAGAGAGATTCCTTCACGAAAGGGACTGGCTTACATACAGTCTCGACAGGCACTCAACTCCGTAGTCAAAATCACATCCAAGAAGAAACACCCAGAACTGATCACCTTTAAATATGGAAATAGCAATACTTCAGGCATAGAAATTTTGGCAGTTGAAAGGTAAGCCATCTCAGTAGCAGAGACATAAGTAGTAATGATATCTGGAACTCTGTCAACTGGAAATCAGGGGCATGTTGTCATTCCCAAAATTGAGTTCAAAAGTAATAGTTATTATTTGGGAATAGATAATTTGGACGTGAACTAGGAAAAAGATCTGCCAGCAGAATGAGGAGTGTTTACAAGACACAGAGGAGAGGAACTGCAACAGCAGTTGATGGGGATGGGATCTGTGCAAGTGTTTTCTGTCTGTAATATGTCCTAAATGAAAACAAGTTGGACAGCAATCTGCAGCTAAGGATTTGTGAAGAGTGGGATTTAAGAGAGTGGTCGTTCTTCTGTGGTATCATCTTTTTAGACATCTGACACTTCCTGTGCATTGTACAAGGAGTCCAGAAGCCTAACCTGAAAACTCTGAACCCCTGAAACCTCATTCCTGAAAGTTAGGTGTTGCCATGCTCAGCACTTGCATGCTTAAGAGGGAGGAGGGGGTCACATGGATGGGCATATCAGGCTTTTCTCCACTGGTGTTGCCTGCTGTTTCTTGACACTGTTTTAACAAGGTTCCTGACATCAGTTCGACATTTTCTTATCTTCCTTGGAGAGAACTGTACAGTGGGTGCTCTGTTTTCATAAGAGGTGGGAGATGAGTTTCTGCCTAATAGGGAAGTTGTTCTATGTCGGTTGGCTGCTTAGTTTGGTAGTAGGTCAGACAAAGGTAAAGTAAAATGCTGGAGAGAACTTTGCTGGTTTTTGAATTACTTCATCACCACCCTGTTGACTGGAGCAAATTGATCTAGAGCTGTCTATAGGAATTTAAACCAAAACCAAGCAAGGACTGCTATGCTTCAGTCAGGCAGTGCTGTCTGTAGAGACCTTGAATTAATGAAGAACTTTTCCAGTCCAAGAAGACCTGTGAAGTACTCCTCAACTCCTAAGGTCACAGACAGGAAGTGTTTCATAGTATATCAGGAATTAAATGTTACTTTCTCAGTATTTTTTCATTTTAATATATTCCTCTCTTCCTTTCCTCCTAGCCAGATGAGAAATCAAAATAATTATGGAATTGATACTCAAAGCATTTCTAGTGAATTAATGATGGCTTTTTCTAATCTTTTTTTAAGGTATTTGATTCCAAATGCAGGTGATGCTACCAAAGCCATAAAACAACAGATCATGAAAGTACTGGATGCCTTGGAGAGTTAATAATTAAAGACTTTGTAGAGACCAGTTTATAAAGAAGAAGCAACCAAGATACTGTATATGGACACGAGCTGACTGTTTCCCAACTGAATACTAACTTAGGAGAATTTTTATGTTTCCTGATGGGAGTGCCTGAGTAGCAGGCTTAAGATAGGGTAAATTATTATCAATTTCTGAACAGGATTTTTAATTTTTTTATTATAATTTTTTGGTTTTGAAGAATGTTTATTATAAAGGTCAGTTTGTTGCATTTTATTGCAGCCTTAATGGGAGTGATCTGCATCTTGGCAAGAGCAGCAGGTGTAGCCGGGTTCACATTCAGTGTGCTACAGGAAGGAAGCACTGTGAGATGCAGAGAAGCAGTTGAAAACAAAATGGTTTTTAAGTTACTGCCCCTTCCTTGAAAGTAAAATGTCTGCATTGCCTACAGTCTGTAAATTTGATGTTGCCTACTGGGTAGGCAAAGACTAATAAAAAACTTAGGTTTACAAGCAGAGCAGATACAAATCTTAGAAATACTGTTTCCTCATTAAAAATGGTTAAGTCCAGCTTGGGCTAGATAAATGGGAAAACTACAAGCAATTTGCAGATTTAACTTTTTTTAAAGTCTTAGCCACTACTTGGTTAAATAACTGGAGTTGGTGGTAAGGGTTATTTCTTAAATACCACAATTAACTGTGGATTTCACTACAGGGTTGTGATTTATTTTTTTTAAATTTTGCAAAATTTTACATTTTATAGGTTGAGGCTGTTTCTCGTGTAAAGATAAGTGTGTGCATTGAAATTAAAGTTAGTGTTTCATGACAGGATATGACAGTTGAAAACAAGTTACCTTGCTCTTCAGAAACAAAATGTCTAATATATTTAGACGTTTAAAAACTTTCAGTTCACCACAGAAGCATGTGCTGATTTGAAGGTGTGTTCAGCAAGAAAATGAATGCACACAAATAAAGTGAAGAGAGTCAAGTGTTGTATACCTGTGATAAATGTATTCTTAACCTGTTGCCTTCATCAGTTAAAGCATTTCTTTATATTATTGTAAGTAACAACAAAACCAGTTAATGTTTGGGAGATGGCAACTATATGGTTGATATCAGCTTACATGTTTATCATCTGCTTTCCACTCATTCAGGACGGTTCTCTTGTTAAAAAGCTCAGTACAGGAATGTCCTTATGGACAAGGAATAGCATCTTTGTAGATGGATGGGAAATCATCAGAAACTGTGAAATAAAGGTAATGGGGATCAGCTTTGCTGCACAAAGTCTCCTGAGTATTTGAATCAAAACCTATGATTTGGTACTTCATCAGGGAGTGAAAGAAGTTAAACTGACCTTTATAAAAAACATCTGTTCTAAGTTATTTTACTAGGAATCAAGCTAGGGCACCTTAATTCTGGAACTAATTCCTTTTCTTTTTTTCCTCCTTAGTATCTGAGTAAACACCAATAGAACTTGAACTGTTGAAGATATTTGCATGAAATTGCACCTGGGCCAACGCTCATGTATTTATAGTTTTGCCCAGCAGCTGTTGTATTACATTTTCCTCTTCCTAATCCCTTCTGAAAATATCCTGAAGAGTCTTTGACTCTGTGCCTACTTCAGCAATGAGATTTTTTTCATGTACAAATGTTTGTGTTACTGTTTATAAACTACAGTTGTAAATAAACCAGTACAATTTGAACATAACTTGCTCTGTCAGAAGGCATTTAGTTCCATACTGTGTGAATTCTCTGAATCAAGTAACAGTTTTTCCTGAAGGTGTTTTGTAAACGGAAGTGAATTTCATCTTTGGAGTGGAAGAAGACAATTATGGATCACAGGGAGCTACTGCCAGGGACTTCTTAATGTAAGTATTCTGGAATTTGGACTAATTTCATTAAGTACTTTTGGGTGAGCCTTAGTAAGCATTCATAGAAAGGTCAAAACGAGTTAAAAAATGGCCAAATTATAGAAGAGTTTCTGCATAAATTTCAGACTTCTCAGCATCATATATTATGAAAATGTTGACAGAATGACACAACACGCTTCTCCCAGTCAGGAGGGGGAAAAATGAAAATTACACGTAGTTGTTAAATAGGTGTATTTGAGTATTAAATATGGGCAGTGGCTAATGTCTGTGCTTCACTTTGAGGACAACAAATACAGACCTTTTAGATCTACAGTAAGTAAAGTGTAAGTCAGTTCTTTAAATCTCTTCTGTGTAGAAATGTATAATCCAACCATTAAGAGGCAAATTATTTGTAATTTTTAAGGCAATGTGCAATTTATCAACAGGCTTCTTATCTTACAAAGCTCAGTCCAAACTATGAATCATTTCAGTGGTGTTCATGCATTTCTACCCACAATTTAAAGGCTACTTTTGCTTTTAAATGTGCATATCTGTAGTTAGTGTATTTGCTACAACTTGTATTGCTAAGCAGAAATTCTAGTTATAGTACTGCAGTGACAGTTTTTGAAAAGAAAAATCAAAATAGCCAGTATGTTACCTTTCATCTTCAAGGAATTTTTAGTTTTGCCAGAGACTTGCAGGCTCCTGTTTTATTCTGTATGCACTGCTGTCTATATTGTTGAATATATGATGACAGCTACTATGTTGCTGGAGTTTTAGTTTTTATTATTTCTTTATTTTTGTGATAGAAATTAGGTCTGAAGCAGGAAAGAAACAGTCTTTTGAGAGTAAACTTACCTCCCAAATGAAAGCTCTTGCCTTTGTTTCATAGCAGGGGTCACTAGTGCTGTGCTCACTGATGGTGCTTCAGTTGCCTGACAGATTCTTTTAGATTCTGCTCTGTATGAGTATTTCTACAGAACTTTACATATATTACCCACCAAAAACACTCCTAACTGTGGAGATAGGATTTTATTTGCATTGCCTTCTCCAGATACAAGTAAAGATGGCTTGTTGGTCTGTCAGTTTAGTTCCTGTTAGGCCTTACACATGGGTCTCCACAGTGTTTGTAGCTTTTCCTTCCAACTGCATTTTGACTCTAGTTTCAAAACTTCTGATCCTGTCAAATAACCTTTTTCAATATAGGCATAATGTACTGAATGGGTGAAAAGTTTCCACTTAGGGGAGGAGAGGGGTGACAGCATAACTTAGTTTTTTTTCTTTGTGCTTTCAGATATTTTTGTTTCGAAACTTGAGAAACACATTTTATCTCTCTGATCTGTGGGAAACACTAGATTTTTAAACTGTGCTTTTCACCTTGGGATGATACTGCTTTTTATTTGCTCTTATTTTGTGTTCTGCCCCAAACCTTGTTTGAAGTCAGGAGACAACCACTCTTTGCACCTGGAGCCCTGCAAGGTGTGCTGTTTGAGGTGGGGGAAAATGGAAAATAATTTATGTTCTTTCTAATAGCATATAGAAGTGTGTAAATGTGCATGTGTAGAGAGGAGGGAGGTGTGCCCAAGAGCTGCTGCAGTGTCCATTCTGCCATTCTTTGGCTTGGTCAGGGTGGGATGAGTCTTTCCTTTTACTGCTCCAAGTGGCAGATGGAGCAGTTTTCCTGTTGAAGGAAGGTTTGTAACTGCTGCTGTGGTGGTCGGGCATTTTATAGTAGTTATGCACTTCTCTCTGGCTATTTCCTGAAAATGAAGGCACTTAAGAGATGAATCACTGTGGTTTACCCAGTTTATCTTTGCCCCTGCTGCTGTTGTGCGCTTTCCCCGTGCAGAGATGCTCTCAGGTGAGAAATGCTGCCTCGACACAGTGTAGGCAGAAACGGCACACCTGGATGTGTTACGTTGTGACTGAGCTAGAATCATAGAATCAACCTGGTTGGAAGAGACCTCAAAGATCACAGTGTCCAACCTAACAGACTCCTAACCCGAGGCGCAGGTAAAATAAGATTAATGGTTTCTTAACTTTTTTAAAATGGGAATTTTTTTTTCACTCGTGGATGCTCCGTGGGGGTTTGGCGCATGCGCCGCGCGGGGCCGGGCGGGAGGCGGCGAGCG